ATGATGGATGTAGATAGATAGATGATAGATAACAGATGGATAGATTGATGGATGGATGGATGGATGGATGGATAGGTGATAGATGATGTGTAGGTAGGTAGATAGATAGATGATAGATGGATGGATAGATGTAAAGATATATACATGATAGATAGACAGACAGATAAATGATAGATAGATAGATAGATAGATAGATAGATAGATAGATAGATAGAGATAGACTAATATGATCATAAACTAATATGGCCTTTCAGTGAAGCAACTTCTCAATTGTAACTTTATCAAAATAAAAATCACAAGAGAAGAGACACTGATGGCCAATATGCATGTTGTTAAAGTTTGGGTCTGAACTGTCCCTCAAAGATCCATGTGGTAACTAACAGCTTGGTACCTAACCTGTGATGTTATTGAGAGGTTATGGAAGTCTCAGAATGTAGGGCCCGATTGGGAGATCTTGGGTGCTTGGAGGCATGCTCTTGAAGGGTGTTATGGAACTCTGGTCTCTCCTTTCTTTCTCCCCTGGCTTCCATAACAGGAGCATTCTGCTCCGCTGTGTGCTTTTGCCAGGATGTATTTCCATGCCACAGGCCCAGAGGCAAAGAGCCATCTAATCATGGAATGAAACTTCCAAAACTGTGAGAATAAACCCTTTCTCTTCATAAGTTATTTGTTACAGTAATAGGAAATTGACTTACATACATGAAATCTTCATGGAAATGCAAATTATAAATACTTTGGGGATAGAGGGTTGGGAGGTTTGAGATAGGCTCTCTCCAGCTGGCCTGGAACTCAACATGTAGACCAGGCTGGCCTCAGTTTCACAGGGATCTACCTGCCTCTGCCTTCCAGAGTGCTGGGATTAAAGGTGTGTGCCACCAAGCCCAGAGCCCTTTTTTATTTTTAAGATTTTTTAAAATATTTTCTTTATTATTTTTGTGTGTATGAGTGTATTACCTGCATGTATGTATGTGCACCCATGTCATGTAATGCCTGTGGAGGTCAGAAGAGGGGGTCAAATTCTCCTAGACCTGGAGTTACAAATGGTTATTAGCCACCATGTGGGTACTAGGAATCGAACCCAGGCCCTCTGTACGAGCAGCCAGTACTTTTAACTACTGAGCCATCTCTCCAGCCCCTAAAATTTATTTTTATTTATGTATAGGTGTGTCTCTGTAAGTGTATGTCACATGCATGCATATGACCATGGAGGCAAAAGAGGATGTCAATCACCTTGAGCAGGAGATACAGGTAGTTGTGAGACACCCAATGTGGGTGCTGGAAACTGAACTCAAATCCTCTGGAAGGGCAGCAAGGGTTCTTAACTACTGAGCCATCTCTCCCTACTTTTTTTAATTTATCAATTTAGTAAAAGTAATTTGATTCCTTGTTTTTAATATCCTCGCAACAATATTGAAAGTGTGGGGAAACAGAGTGGCTAAGAGTATAAATTAGTGCAGCTTTTTTCTAGGAAGACAATGTGCTAAAATATTTAATTTTTTCAGATAATATTACAACGAAATAATCTGGCCTGTATATTAAGATTATTTTATACAGATAGGCTATAGCATATTAAAAATAGCAAAACCCAGACATAATCCAACTGACTATCATTATGGAAATGGCTAATTTATGGTTTCTAGATACTGTGAAATGACAAAAAAAATATAAATTGTGAGGTAGCTTGTACTTAAACAAGGAAGGATTACACACTCTTAAATGTAACATACACATGCATATTGTTCATATATATATATTATCTGGAGTACCACACATTATATGTTTTATGTATATATTATCTAGGTACTTTCTACCCCACAAGCCTAAAGACCTCTGACCTCCATGGTTTTGGACTTCTCTGTGGCATCACGCACTGACCACCGTCTGGAATGCGCCCTTTGCCCAGCTTTCCCTAACTTTCTTGTGAATCTAGCCTCTCCATTTCCCAAGGTGGTGGGCTCTTTCCAAGGGCTCTTGCTTTTCTAGGCTTTCTTTTCTGAGAACCCAACCTTAGTGCAAGTTACTAGTATCTCTTCTACACTGCTGGGTCTCAACTCACCTTCTTCAGACCTGACTCTGCACTTTAATCCAACCTCTATGAATGCGCACAGATGCCACTCCTGAGATTTTCAGCCGCTACTACCAACTAGCTTGTCCTCCCCACTTCCTTCCTTTTGTCTTCCCTCAAGCCCCACTGCATGAGGTTCAGAGGCACAAGCACTGCAGTCATTGTTTGTCTTGTTTCCATCTATTCTTCATGACCATAGTACCTTGATGAGGTCTCCTTAAATCCATCTTCCAGGTGGATCTATTTTCTCCACACCACATGACTTCACATATCTGAAATATTGTCTCTTCCTCTCCTTTTACTCAATACTCAAATGTTGCCTATTCTGTGAGATCCAACCCTAATGGCACTTCATTTCAAAATGTTTATTAAAAATCTATGGTGTCAGATACTGGGTATAACATTAAGGCTATAGGGCTGGAGAGATGGCTCAGCAGTTAAGAGCACTGACTGCTCTTGTAGAAGACCTGGGTTCGATTCCCAGCACCCACATCATGGCTATGAACCGTCCTTAAGTCCAGTTTCAGGGAAATCCGAAGCCCTCTTCTGACCTCTGTGGCACTGCACAGCACGGGTGCACTCATATACATGCAGGCAATGCACTCATGCACATAAAATAAAAATAATAAATAAAATATTTTTTAAAATTAAGGCTATAACCAAGACCAGAAAAAATAAGAATGCTTCACCTTGGCGCTTATAGTCTAGTAAGTGAAGGGAAAGACAAAGTATAATAAGAAATAAATATGAGAATTCCAGGCAATAGAGTAATAAAGAGGACGTGGGGAGCAGGGGTGGGGAGGATGAGGAGGCAGAGGCTGGAGGATGCTTAAAACACTA